TTGTGTGACATTGGACAAAGTAAACTCTGTCTCAGTTCTTCTCTTGATAAAAAGCCACAACCCCAGCCCCCTAGATGTTATTTTTTTAAAAAAAATTATTATGCCTGGTGTTCTTTCAGCTTCCCTGATCTGTGATTTGGTATCAAAGGTCTCAGTCATTACTTCAAATATATATTTTTTCCTCTTCAAATGTACATTTTTTTTTCCATATACATGTACACTATACCTTTTGAAATGATCCTAGTTTTTGGATGTTCTGTTGTTTCTTCCTATGGTTTTTCTTTGCATTTCATTTCGGGACATTTCTATTAACCTATATTCAAATCCATTGATTCTTTCCTCAAATATGTTCAGTCTACTAATGGGTCCCCTGAGAGCAATCTTTGTTTCTAGTACAGTGCTTTTTAGCATTTGCTTTTTTATTCTAAGTTTTCGCTTCTATCATCCATCTGTTCTTGCTTGTTGCCTTTTTTCATTGGACCTTTTGGTGTATTAATTACAGTTACTTTAAATTGATAACTCTAACATTTGTGACCATACCTCTTGTTAATTTCTTGTTAAAAAGCCACACATGAAACACTGGGAAATGTAAACTGAAAAGAGACAGGCCACAAGTGTGAAGGTTTATGGCAATCTAGCCAGGAGCTGAGACTGTTTCATGTCTGTGGTGTTTTAGGCACCAGAGGCTTCACCTTCCTCTAGTGTCTCTTTTTTGCCTCTCAACTCTGAATTTCCCTAACTGCTTCTCAGAGAAGGGCTTTTAGCTATAATCACTGTGACTACACTGGAACCCATTGGTATTGTGGCAGTGGAGGGAGGTATTCCATACACTCCAGATTAAATCTGTATTTCAGTGGGTCTATGATCTATCCAATTATTCCTTCAGTGGTACAGCTTTTCTATCCACCCATCCCTGGATGCAGCATTTCCGATCTATTTCCTTGAAGTCCTGATCCCTGCTGAGTATTTTTTCCTTTAGGTAAGACAGGAAGGAAGACTAATGTAAAGCTGGAGTGGGAATGCCCTTTTCCTAACAGGGATAAGACTCTGGCTATGTTTTACCCTAGAGAGTAGGGGGTTCTGGGTGTTGTTTCACAATGATTATGTGGTGCTGAGGACTGAACCCAGTGTCTCACAGGCTAGACAAGTGCTCTCCCACTGAGCTACAACCCCAACCCTCAGCTTATAGTTTTGATAACTATTGCCAAATTGCCCCCCACCCCCGCTCCATGGAGGTTGTACCAATTTATCCTCCTTGCCAGAGTCACAAAAAGATACCTCTAGACGTGAAACTCTGATAGGGTTCCTAGAAGTGAAGTTTACTACTGTAGGGGCCACTCTAAAAATGTAATCTCCAGGGATTTCTTATAGTTACACTAGTCCACACTTAGCCTCCATCAAATCATGAAAAGTGTCATGAAAAATGTTCCTAAACAGGTTATGGCTCTAGTGACTTCTATTGCCAGTAAGCCAATTTGAGTTTTCTTCTCTCAGATGAGCTTGTCACTCCCCATTTTGGAGAATGGTTTAAAATTTGATGGATCCAAAAAAAGTTATTGATTTTTGTCTGTCCAACTTTTTCTTTTTTCTTGGTGCTGGGGCTTGAACTCAACCCAGGGTCTTGCACATACCAGGCAAGCACTCTACCACTGAACTACACCCCCTGCCAAGCTATTTTTTGTTTTAAGAACCAGGGTAACAATTTTCCAGCTGCTTACATTTGGGCTGAAATATGAAGTGTTTGACTTTGAATAACCATTTCCTTGCTTCCATCTGGATTTCCATGTTCTTTATAGTTCTCACATTGCCTCGTGTACTTTCTAAACAATAGTATAGCCATATAGAGCCTTTTCACAACAGGGTCTTAACAAGACTGTTTTGAGAAAAGGGCTGGTGCTTGACGTCTCCTGGCTATGTTAGAACTTTGCACATTTAAAGGGCTTAGTGCTGCTGGTTGAGTTTATTGGATCACTTCCATTTATGGTACTCACTCGGACAGTGAAGAGCATTTCTGAATTTCCCTTTTGCTTTTTTTGAATTAATTTTCCTGGCCCCTGAATCAAAGTCTTAATTCCTTTACATGGTTAGAATACAGGAAACTTCAGTGTTAATCAAGATTTATAAATGTAGTACCTCAAGATCTGATAAGACATTTTTTCCTCAATTTCCTGATTTCTTTTTGTATTGGCTAAGGTAGTCAACTAAGTTCGAATCTGACCAAACTCCAGGAAATCAAAGAGTTTCCTAGCTAAATACCTTAACCTGGCGGTTTCAGCATTACCTGGGAAGTTTTAAAAAAACAAAAACGCCTATAGCCTCAGTCTTAGTGAGTAATTATGCTATGTTTAGGGAAATAAGATATTCCAATAAGCAAGCTCTTCATGTCCAAAGAGCTACTTGCACTCAAACTTAAAAACAAAATAAAACTATCCATTCTTTCAATCATGTAGAGCTTAGCTAGAGGACATAGGAAATGTTACTGAAAACTCCCTCTTTCATTCATTCAATAACTGCAATGAGCCACACACCCTGTCCACTATGCCAAGGCATGGCCTTTGAGTAAAACATACTCAGTCTAAATTCAGCGACACTCCATCCTGGGCAACCTGAGCACATCCTTGAGCTTTTAGAACCTGTCTTCTCATCTGTCAAGAATATCACCTACTTCATAAGGGACTTCTATTATGAGATCACAGCAGAAAAAATAAAGAATGATACTCTCTACCCTCCTGAAACAGTTTCCAACTCTGTTCCCAGTCCAAACACTTGCATATTGTACTAATCACCACTAGCACTCACTGAACATTTAATCTACAAACCAGGCAGCATACTAAACTCTCTATCTGTCCATCCAAACATCCAACATATTTTATCTGTAAAGACTCAGGGGACAGCAGCCTCCTCCTTTCATTGGGCATATTGATTCCTACCCCTATAACAAAACAGGCAAAACAAGTTGAGGTAACAGGTTGAGGACTTTTCCTCTAGAATAGCCCATAACAAGAGGACCAAGTTGAAAAGTCATAGGATGTAATAAAAGAGATGCTCCTTCCTCAGCTCCCCTTCCCCAAGGTCATAAAACCAGTAGAGGGTCACAATGGCAGAACTTCCAAGCAGGAAACTAAACATTACAATCCTGAAACACTATAACAACAGGATTAGTGGTACCATTTGCTGCTACTACTAGCTGTCTACATAGGCTGTGACTGCCATCAGGTTAACTATTAAAAAGCTTTTGCACATTTTAGATACCGTTATTCCAGATTTTACATTTACTCCTAAACACCATTTATAGCTGGCAGGAGGTGAGACAAGGCTATCTCTAAGTAGACATAAAGCCTGAAAATCTTGTTTATTTCCTATCCAATCCTTTATAACTCACTGCCAACTTAAGTACTGTTCTCTTAGGAAGACTCCTGAGGGTTTCTAGAACCCTTCCTTTTGTGATTAGAATTAACAGTGCCTGCATTTTTACTTCAGTTGGCTACCAGTAAACTTTTACTATTACCATGGTCTCAGTTCCCTAAGAGACAACATTAAAAAGTACCTTCTTGCATTAGGCAAAAAATTATACCTGGAATAAACAACTTTTCCCCTAGTTTAAAACCTGTGACTTGTCAAGAGCATGCTTGCCTTTAGAGAAAATTGTAGTAGAGATTAAAAGTAAGCAAGACATTACAACCATCCTCAACATTATTCCCTTTAAGAAACAAAATCAAAAGAATTCCATGGTAAGTGGAAACCTTCATATCGCTGACATTTTTCTGCTTTTCATTGCAGGAAGTTTAGCAGCATCTCTCATCCACCTAGATTCCAGTAGCATTTCCTAGTTGTGACAACCAAAATATCTGAGCGTTGTCATAAAATTACCCTGGCTGAAAACCATTGTTTCAGAGGAATTACTTAGTTTAGAAGAACTACCATGGGCTGGGAATGTGGCTCAAGCGGTAGCGCGCTCGCCTGGCATGTGTGCGGCCCGGGTTCGATCCTTAGTACCACATACCAACAAAGATGTTGTGTTCTCCGAGAACTAAAACTAAATATTAAAAAAAAAAAAAAAAAAAAAAAAAAAAAAAGAAGAGCTACCATTACTCTGTTCTGAACATCCCAAAGTGACAGCATTTTATTTTAATTTTCTAATACACTGAAATAAAATTTGCATGTTTAGTTACATATTTTCTTATATAACCAATTTTATGGAATTATGAAATACTGTTTGAGCAACAAAAGGCCTTATAAGGCAGCTCTGACTTCTTCCTCTGATTTCTAGATTGCTTGGTATAGATCCCAGTTTGAACAAGACCTAAACTTAATTCCTCTTCAATGTACTAACCTGTCTCTAGAGAAGATGCATCTGGGGTGGGAGGACAACCTGTCCTTATCTTGGGATCTAACTGGGGGTCATGATGGGTCCACAAACACACTAACAGATTGTGCAGATTCAAACTAGAAACACCATTCTGGCTACAAAGGTCTAACCAGAAACAGCAAGGAGTTCTGTGTTGTACAGTCTCTTATTATTTAAACAAGTCAGTCTACAACACTGGCCCTTTTCCCTTAAAGAGGATAGTGTGTGTCCCGAGCCCAAGCCTAATAAAAGAGAAAGCATGCACCTGCTGACTTACTACACCCTTGCTAAGTTCCAACAATTCACTCAGATGGACTAGGGAAAAAATTCTGAGAAACAGGAGGCATGGTATTGACTTATCTTAAAAGGTCTTTTAAAGAATGACTTGAGATTATAAAGCATTTCTCAAACACAAAGTGCTTCATAAATGATTCAATAAGCATCAAGGAATGCTTTTCTAGGGCATCACGTTTTTGTTGTTTAAAAGAATATACCCCATTCAAAAGGGGGTAGCATATTTGATATCACCACTGTTTGAAGAGGAATGGAGTTACAGGAATGAGAAGTGTGTAATTAGTAAATAATCCCTCTCAACAAGTGAATTACAATGTAAAGCCATAAGGGAGAAAAGAAAAGCTAGAGGCACCACAAATCAGTGCATATCAGAAATGCATTTTAATTTTTATTTGAAAACAACTTAAATTTTTAGACAAATGATTTTAGTATATAAATTTGATTTTGTTTTTATACAGAATATAAAGATTTCCCTCATTAATCTTCCATGTGAAGGGTATTACAGACTGGAAGGAAGATACGTTCTGCACACAAGTCTGTATCTTCTGTGTGCGGCACTGGAAACAAATGGTGTAGTGCTCCTACACATAAATTAGATCAAGTGACATTACAGTTTAAAGGGGGAGAAGAGAAATATCGTCGTTAATCCGATTCAAGAAGCAAACATGACACAAAAACTGTGCAAATAAGACCAAGTCAGTAACTTTAGTTAGGACACTGCAGATTATAAGGGAAGGTTTGTGAGGCTATAGTGTGCACCACATTAAAACAGCAAGAAAAGCTATTTATATAGAAAAGCTGGAATGAGGGATTTTCACTAAAGCAAATTAACTTCTTGTCAACTGCCAAAACAAAACAGAGCATATGAGTGTTAGTATACTGAAGGCATGTTATACCAGTTTCTGTGCAGCATGCTAAAAGTTATTTAGAACTTCTTCACACTGGTGCATATGAATCATTAATGGTCACATTTTTGCCTCTTCTCACCAAATTTCAGGCATGTCTTATTTTAGATGGAGTATAGCTTTTATCTATGATCTCATCCTGTAAAAACATGTGAAGACAACGTTCATTCTGTGCCAGAGGATGACCAGCGACCCTGGGAATAAAAAAAAAAAAAATACAAATTTAGTCCAATATTTCATAAAAACAGGAGTTTGAGGTTGAGATATATATAAAATTTACTAAAAGTAAGTATTATTCTGGACTACCCATAAAGCTATGCTTTGTCAACTAAAAGTGTATTTTCTTTCCTTGGGTTCACATTAGCAATTTAGAAAACAATTCTTACTGGATTAACTATGCACTGCTTCTCATAATGTGTATCCAATTGGCTTCTTAAGTACTAGTTGGTGTACTCATAAGAAACAAATAAATTTTAACATTAAAAGTGAAATGTATCACTGGATTCTAAGAATCCATTTTAAAAAGAGATACACGATTAGAGTTAGAAATACAGGGAAGTTCAATAAAAGCCTTGATACTAAGAAACAGGACCAATACTAAGAAACAGGACCAATACTAAGAAACAGGACCAATGTTCAGGTGTTTTGTTTCTTTTTTTCTTATTTCTTTTTTCACTGCTTTTAAAGTCTTCTATCATAGGCTAAATACAAAACCAGACTGGGTAACTAGAATTCTATTTCAGAATTTAAAAACATTTGACATAGCATTGCCTTCCCCCAAACAAAGTATGTTCATAATAAGACAAGTAAAGGTTGTGTGCTATGATAGATAACCAAGTTAAAGGCTTTGTGTAACCCTTTCTCTTTTGTTTACTACTCATGGATCTTCAAATTACAAGATAAAAATTAATATGTAAGCTCACAAACCATGTTTTCATAATTAAAGTGATCCCTTTCTTAGCATAATCTTTCTATTTCTTTGGCTTCTTAAAAGTAATTATATTTTAGCTGGGTGTGGTAGCACATGCCTATAGTCCCAACTACACAGGAGACTAAGGTAGAAGGATCATCTGAGCCCAGTTTGGGGCCAGCCTGGGCAAAACAGTGATACCCCATCTCTTAAAAAATAAAAAATTATTATTTCAAAGACGAGTAAAATTAAATGCTAGACATATTGATTTGAGCTTATCAAGATTTTCTAAAAGACAACCCTAAAGTCTTTTTTCAAAAGAAAACATTTTTTAAGGGAAATAAAAAATGTACACCTTTACACAAGACATGTTGATAACACTTCCTTCTGCAATCAAACAAAATGATTGCAAATGTATTGTATATTTTATTGTTCATTCTAGAACATACCCAAATCAGAAAGAATCATAAGGTAAAACTATGTTTTTAAATGCTGCAATTTTAAACGTAATTTGCATAAATTAAGAAAATATAAAACTTAGGTCAACACAAAGCTACTTATTTCAATCAAGTGTGTTAATATTTATCACATGATAGTCAACTTGTCATATACTTTTACTTTGTTTAAATGATACAAAAAGTTAGAAAATGATCAAAAGAAAGGCAATATCACGATTTAACTTAACATTTAAAGTTACAAGTGGTCAACTCAAGTAGTCTCAAAACAGCTCCCTCTCACCCCCTCAAGAACAGAGAGAACTTACTTGTTTATAAACTGCTCCAGCCCTTGCTTCCTTTCCTCTATAAAATTGTCATCAAATATTCCATCATCTCCTCTAAAAGGTAGCTGACGCAAAAATGCTTTCCCAGGGAGTGGGGGAACTACAACCTAAAACAATATGAAGAAAGTGAATTCTTGATCATGCTAACTAGGTTGTGAAAATTTATAAAACACAACATGTCGAACAGTAGACCCTTATTATGAGAGCTGTCCCATTCTCAAACTAATTTAAACATAAAGAGAATTAGTAAAAGTATATATATTCTGAAAAAGCTCAATGTTTTGGAGGCAAGACAAATGAATGCAGAAAAAGCTCATGGCACTGTAGTTCCAAAAAGACAGGTCCCAGAGCTCTATTTGGATACAGCACTTTTCTTAGTCTTATCAAATCACAGATACACAAAAGCAATAATCTTCAATTATTTGATTCTTAAATAAAAGGTTATCATGCCGGGCTGGGGATGTGGCTCAAGCGGTAGCGCGCTCGCCTGGCATGCATGCGGCCCTGGTTCGATCCTCAGCACCACATACAAACAAAGATGTTGTGTCCACCGAGAACTGAAAAATAAATATTAAAAAAAAAATTCTCTCTCTC